ATGATGAAGTTTAGCTTTCCTACTTAAAGTATTCTTAGGTCACCTGAGTCACTCTTCTATCCATTTTCTATCCGTTTTCGTACATCATGTGTCGTGCGTCGTGTATCGTGTATCGTATGCTAAAATTTCAACATTTTCAGATTCTTCTCTGAAACCACTGAACCAATTTCAAACAAATTTGGTATACAGCATCCATGGGTGAAGGGAAACAAAATTATGAATTTCATGGTCCCTGCATCCCTGGGGCCTTAGGGGTGGGGCCAAAACCACCGAAATTAATTAAATCTTTAAAAATCTTTTTCTTTACTCGTGGGCATCAAGCAGTCAAACTGTGGGTAATGTAATGAGCTAGGATGGAGCTATATAAATTATATAGTTCTCTTTGAAAATCTTCTTCTTTGTTCCTTGGTATTAAATAAACTAACTTAGTACATAGTTATGAGGAGCAAGAGTGCCTCTTCCAAAATTATGAATTTTATGGCAGTAGCGTCAGGGTTCTGGTGTTAGTGTAAAGCTCTATTTATTATATAGGCCCCAGGGTTGGGGTTTCTGGTGTAACGGCGGGGTTCTTTGATTATATAATTAAAATGCATAAATTCTTTGAAAATCTTCTTCTCTGCTCCTGTGCATTAAATAAACTAACTTAGTATATAGTTATTATGAGCAAGGGTGCTCCTTCCAAAATTTTTAATTTCATGGCCCCTGTGTCAGAGGTTTTGCCATTTGGTGTAAGGGGGGTGGGTGGGGTCTTTTGATTATAAAGTGATGATACATTAAGTCTTTGAAAATCTTTTCCGTTGCTCCAGGGTATTATACCTATGGTTTAAGTATATAGATTTATGATGAAAAAGGTGCATCTAGCAAATTGTTTAATTTCATACCCCTTGGGTCAAGGGTATGGGGGTTATATAGTCTGAAAATAAATTAATGCTTTTAAATCTGCTATTTGTTATTAATCAACCATTTATGATGAAATAAAATTTATGAAAAATTTCCTAAATTTTGAAATAAGTGGCCCCAGGGTCAATGGTTCCTTTAGGGTGGGGTACATAACTGGTTATAAAGTGGAAGTGCATTTTCTCTTTGTTCCTCTGATCTACCTCTGGGTATTAAGTAACTAGAGTACATTGTAAGCATGCTAAGCGTATAATTATTATAAGCAATGGTGCAAATCAAGGTCACTGACAAAGAAAAAAATATTTAAGCGCATAACTTTATTGCGTGGACCCTGCGGTCCACGCAGTAAATATATAAGCGAAGTTAAACCGGATGCCCTGGGCAAACGACAGGCTACGCATGCGAGCGAATGCTAGAGAGTTCGCAGCTTAGGTAACTTGCCCGTAGAATAATTCGCCCTATTCGGATTAAAATATGCCATTCATTGGCAAATCGCGCTTTTAAATCTGCATATCGCATTTACACATTTATTGGCAGATCCGATTTCCTCTCTTTTACATATACTTTTATACTAAACATTGGTTCGATGGTACAAACATTTTAAGAAGTTACAGTATATAGATACATGTAACTTAACAACTTGAATGAGAAATGTCACTCAACGAACAAAGATACATGTAGCTTTTAAAGCTTTTAAAGTAGAGCAAGTTTTCACCGGCATTAGTTTTGTGCATCAAGACTCGCAAAATAATTTAATATTTCAGCAATCTAATTATTGTTTGATAAAGGTCTGTAGCAAGGGCTTTTAATAGGTGTGTGTTGGGGGTGGGGGTGGGGGTTCCGACAAAATAAAAAAAAACAAATCTGCGTTGTACAGAGGTGTGCTACACGTGAACCATCAGATCTCCATTTTTCCCATGATAAATTTCTTCCGTATAAATCCAGAACAGGTGTCAAGTCCCAGCCAATATATGTTAAACGTGTCAAAATAACCCGATTTTTTAAACATGTTAAAACTGACAAAACTAAAGATCGCTAATCGGAGATAAAATTTCACATTTGTGCTTTGAGACTACGATCAGTTATAAGTGGCAGATAATTTTAGAATAAGTGAACAAACCTTACATGAATATTCCCTACACCTAGAAATTTTCTTAATTGAATTTCAGTTAGAAAAAACACGCATATGTTCCACGTATTGCAGTCCTTTTTTAAAGGACAGCAACTTGTAATTAAAATTTACCGGAGGCTCATGCTGGGAAGAAAGGTTGTTAACATAAGAAAGTGCAGTGACCTTGACCCAAGATCTGTACTTCCTGTCCACGGCTCCAACGGAAGACCTACTCGTTGCTTTGCAACGAGCTCGGCTCTAGTTTTATGAATATTCTCATGAATGAACTGTACATATGGTCGTAATTTTCATCAATGGATGATACAAAATAATGCCTCATTTAAATGTTTTAAGGCGTTTTTTCATACACATTTAACATATTATTTACATGTACATGTTGAAATGATTGACCCAGAAATTCCGCGAGATTTGTAAACATTTCGGCTTTTTCACAAATGAGCGCACTAAAAACTATATCTCTTTCATGGTGTAAATAGAACGTATTAACAATAGTTACTTCGATTCATATGTCAACTGGATATACCCTATTGAACTTGAAATTAACGACAAAATAAAGACTGCCACTAACCAGTATAACAAACGAGATGACTTCATTCTTTCCATCGCCAATTTTCTTAAATATTTATGTAGGAATATCCCACTATCACTTACAATTAAATTGTGTTAACATCTCTTATTTTTAACGATACTCAATAGCAGGCTCCGAGTACGAACGGTTTAAACCGAGACAGGCTACTGACAGACAAGTTGATGTTATGGGGATTTAACACCCTCCTTTTTAAAGTCAGTATTTTGAATTTTAGCTGTACGTCGTATTTCATACCAATTTTTTAACCTTTCATGGTGTCTCATTCGGGACGGTAGTGAGTTCGCTCCGTGATCAGGAGGTCGTGAGTTCTCGGCTGCGACTGACCTAAGTTAATAAAAAAAATTGGGTAGGAACTGTTCCTTTGCTATGTGCTCAGCACTTTAAAGAGAAATTTGAGTGCCGAGTAAAGGTCAAAATTTGAAGCCCTTCAACGGTATGACGCCTCTATATGGGTGAAAAATTCTCAAATGGGACGTAAAACAACTTTTAATAAAACAATCAATTACACCACTTTTTGGTGAACCTGATCAACACATAGGCCCCACAGCGGATGGGACTGCCCAACGGGGAAATTCTTATTCCCCCGGAACAGCTGATCATTCATGATCTCGAGCAAATCATAAAGATGTTTTATATACTTTATTTGCATGAAATATACAAATAAAATACACAAATCAAGATTCGGATTTTTAATTAGATATGATTTTTATCCGATGAGTTGTGTGTTTTTAACCCCAAGCTTTGAATAAATTATTTTATCAATTTTTAGCTCACCTGAGCCGAAGGCTCAAGTGAGCTTTTCTGATCAAAATTTGTCCGTCGTCTGTCGTTGTTGTCGTCGTCGTAAACTTTTCACATTTTCATCTTCTTCTCAAGACCAAATGGGCCAATTTCAACCAAACTTGCCACAAAGTATCCTTAGGTGAAGGGGATTCAAGTTTGTTTAAATGAAGGGCCATGCCCTCTTCCAAGGGGAGATAATTATGAATTAGTGAAAAATTAATGGCATTTTTAAGAAATCTTCTTCTCAAGAACAACTTGGCCAAGAAAGATGAAACTCATGTGGAAGCATCCTCAGGTAATGTAGATTCAAATCTGTTCAAATCATGACCCCCGGGGGTAGGGTGGGGCCAAAATGGCCGATCAAGGTTTTACATAGGAAATATAGGAAAAATCTTTAAAAATCTTCTTCTCAAGAACCACAGGGCCAAGAAAGATGAAACTCATGTGGAAGCATCCTCAAGTAGTGTAGATTCAAATTTGTTCAAATCATGACCCCCGGCGGTAGGGTGGGGCCACAATGACCGATCAATATTTTACATAGGAGTATATAGGGAAAATCCTTAAAAATCTTCTTCTCAAGAACCACTGGGCCAGGAAAGATGAAACTCATGTGAAAGCATCCTCAGATAGTTTAGATTCAAGTTTGTTCAAATCATGACCCCTGGGGGTAGGGTGGGGCCACAATGGCTGATCAAAGTTTTACATAGGAGTATATAGGGAAAATCTTTAAAAATCTTCTTCTCAAGAACCACTGGTCCAGGAAGGATGAAACTCATGTGGAAGCATCCTCAGATAGTTTAGATTCAAGTTTGTTCAAATCATGACCCCTAGGGGTAGGGTGGGGCCACAATGGCTGATCAAAGTTTTACATAGGAGTATATAGAGAAAATCTTTTAAAACCTTCTTCTCAAAAACCACTGGACCAGGAAAATTGAAACTCATGTGGAAGCATCCTCAGATAGTGTAGATTCAAATTTATTCAAATCTTGACCCAAGGGGGTAGGGTGGGGCCACAATGGCTGATCAAAGTTTTACATAGGAGTATATAGGGAAAATCTTTAAAAATCTTCCCTTAAGAACCACTGGGCCAGGAAAGATGAAACTCATGTGGAAGCATCGTCAGGTAGTGTAGATTCAAGTTTGTTCAAATCATGACCCCCAGGGTAGGGTGGGGCCACAATGGTTGATCAAAGTTTTACATAGGAATAAAAATCGTCTTCTTAAGTACTTTAAAGCAATGATTAGTGATAGTATAGGAAGGAAATGTTTTTAAAAAATCTTTTTATCAAGAACAGCAAAATCATATGCTGTATTAATATGAAGGCATTCTAAAGTAGTAATAAATTCAAGTCCCCCCCCCCTTCCTTTTCAGTAAACTTTTCAGTTCTGATCTGATTTGTATTCTTTTCCTAGACAATTTGCTCAGGTGAGCGATGTGGCCCCTGGGCCTCTTGTTGTATAATAGTTAAGCTTTCTAATGTTAATCAGTTAATCATGAGGTAAAATATGGAGTAATACAATTCTTTTTCGACCTTAAATGGGGTAGAATACTTAAAACAAATCAGAAAGTAAAAGTCTTTTGTCGCTTTTTCATCATAGGGTATGTGTGGTTCCTGTTGGGCGTTTAGTGCTGTAAGTAATTATAATCGTACAAGTTAACTACGTTTAAATGAGACTTTTCTTAATACATATATAAAATTTCAACATATTTTAATTGAAGGCACTGATCACGAGTAATATATCAATTTGCTTTAACTGTTTTTAAATTAGTTTCTCATTTTATGTTAATTTAGCTTTACGTATTTTTCACAATCCTCGAATGAGTATTTTCCCTTAAGTTTATCAACTATGTTTTATTTTGGCTTTATAGACTGGTTCCCTTGAAGGACAACACTACCGTAAAACAGGCAATATGGTGTCCCTTAGTGAGCAACAGCTGGTGGACTGCTCCAGATTCTTTGGAAATGATGGTTGTAATGGCGGAAATATGATCAACGCATTTGAATACATCAAATCAGTAGGGGGGATTGAAACTGAGGAGGGTTACCCTTACAAACATAAAGTACAAATTTAAATTAGCATACAACTATTCAAAAAAAAGTAGTGATGAAAAATATTTGGGTGAAAATTCAACTTTAATAATATTACAGAAAGTCTCTATCCGTCATTTTGATTCTTATTTCATCTTGATATATTTATAGGATGGAGATTGTAAGTTTAATAAAAAGATGGTTGTGGCCAACGTCACTGGATGTGTTGTTATTGAAAGTGAAAGTGAGTCAGCTCTTAAGGTAGCTGTAGCTGAGGTTGGCCCTGTATCTGTAGGAATAAATGCACTTCCTTCTTTCATGGCATATGGGGGAGGTGAGACAGGTTTCTGTTTAGCAAATTTAGAAAGAAAGCATGCAGTGAGGGAATTTACCGTATATACTCGCCTATACGTCGTTTTGTTTTTGGAGTTAAATTTTGGTCTTAAACTCTATGTCCGACTTAAGAGACTCCGATCCTCAACCAGCAAGTACAACTCTTTAATATATAATTAAATTGAAAAAGTCTCAAAATGAAGCTTGAAAATTAAATCTTTTCAGGCAACAATTTTATTATATACCTCTCAATGTGCTTCATGGTTCTTTGAAGTTCTCAGAAAGGTCTAATTAAAATTCGAAATTTTTTACCCGTAAGAGCATTTTAAAAATACATATATCAAGAAATATAGATAGATACAACTGTTTATTAACATGATATGAAATTAGAAGTGATTGTGATTTTTGGAGCTTTACAATGTCAGGAGAATCTTTATACACTTTGCATTGTAAAGTGATCGATTGATTGATTGATTGTATATTGTTTAACGTCCCTCTCGAGAATTTTACATTCATATGGAGACGTCACCGATGCCGGTGAAGGGCTTCAAATTTAGACCTATACTCGGCACTTAGGGCCATTGAGCAGTGAGGGTTCTTTATCGTGCCGCGGGACCTACGTTTTTAAGGTCATATCCGAAAGACCTGATGCCGAGCGCTTGGCGAAGGAACAGTCGCTACCTATTTTTACGTCTTAGGTTTGAAGCGGCACCGGGAACGAGAATCGAACCCGGGCCTCCCGATCACGAAGCGAACGCTCTACCACTAAGCTACCGTGAACGGTGTAAAGTGATGGAAGTAAATAAAAGAAATTCAAGTACATTATATGTATACAAATTGTGGAAGCCTGGATACCTATGATTTTTATTTCTAAAATGTGTCAATTGATCAAATTTGAATTGAAAAATGCATAGCAAGTGTTTTTATTCACAATTCCTGAAAATATATTTGAGATTTATTAATTTTCTCTATATAATATGATTCACTTGAAAAATGAAGTCTGAAGATATATTATGGGTAAAAACATGTCACTTTGAAAATTCAGAGACATTTTTTAAGTCAAGGCTTGATTTTCAGATTCTGAGGATCGGAGTACCTTAAAGGCGAGACATTAAAAGATTGATTTTTTTTTCTAGAAGGCGAAATGTAGTTACTGTACTGGTATTTTATATTATATATAATTATGTGTGCATGCTTAGATTATAAAAAAGTACAAGTATTCATATATATTTAATTATTTTTTTTTTGTATCTTAAGTGTGAATTACTTGTTTGCTTTATGTTTTAAAATCAAATATTTCCATTTCCAAAGTTTTTTACTCTGTGATAACTGTTTGAAAGTTAGCGGAGTTTATTTTTCTTGATAATTCTACTGGAATGTAAATTAGGCAGGTCGATAGGCCAGGAGCTAAGGAGGCCTAATATGCATGCAAATCTTGTGCGCATCTGTCTCTGTGTCTGACGCTAAGGAGGACAAATATGCATGTAAATCTCGTGCGGCGGCCTTTGTTTTTGACGTCAGTTAGCGAGGACTACATGTATTGAAATTGGCATAGGAATCCTCGTGTAATTTAAATCTATGTCTACATTTCTAAAGTCTAAATCTACAATTTTATTTCAAAAGGAAATGGAAATATAAGGGATCACTGTCTAGTTAGTATAGTATGCCAGGTACATCAACGATAGTTGGAATCATGGAATAATTTATGCATAACGGGCTTCGCCCGTTATGCAAATTATCCCATGTTTCCCATTATCGTTGATACCCTGGCATACTATACTAACTAAACAGTGATTCCTTAAATATCAGTCATTTCGAAAAAAAAAAATTAGTTGAAACCATGTGTAAACACCGGTGGGTTTACTTGCAATTGTCAATCGATTGTGGCAAAAGCTGTACCGACTTATAAGCGAGTCAATGGCAAATACCTCCAAAATAACCCCAAAAAATACAATCAACTTATAGGCGAGTATGTACGGCAGTTTTCTAGAATATTATATAGATAATTATAATACCCTTTTCCATATCACATCTTGTATCAGCCCGAGACACCAATATCAGCCAGAGGGCCGAAGGCCCGAGGGCTGATATTGGTCGAGGGGCTGATACAGGATGTGATATGGAAAAGGGTATGTATTATTATGCCTATTACATACTTAGTAATAAAATACAGCATGCATTAAGTTGAGAAGAAATTAAGTAAATAATCATGCATGGACTTCTTACATACATGTACATGGTCTATTGTCTTATACAATTTGGGTTTGTTTCTACTTCTATTTCAATGCACTCGATCCGTAATTTGAAAATAATTTATTACATGTATTTGTAAATTAAGATTAACCTTATTTTCAAAATGTTAGAATTAAGAGAATATGAAACCACCAAAAATTTGATGATCACAAGTACTGTTTTTGTGGTTTAATTTACTGAGGGTATAATATTGACGTCACAATAGCCACATCAGCCCCGCAGGGCTGATATGAATTTGCAGGGCTGATAAAGGTTATCAGCCCCGCAAATCCATATCAGCCCTGCAGGGCTGATACGGCTATTGTGACGTCAGCCATATCGCATATGCAAAAAACCTGTATTTATTACTAAGTGTGTAATAAATAAATATAGCCCTTTGATGAGGTCGATCCATAAATATATCAACTTCACAGAAAAGTACGAATCATCCGAGTACGAAGTGCGAGGTCGATATGCTTTTCTTATGAGGTCAATATATTTATGGATTGACCTAATGAAAGGGCTATACATTTATTATATTATTTTTACATAGATTAACAATACACAATTTGAAAATAATGGGAACAAGGCACAAGTTTACTCTCTATAACTTTTAGAGACTAGAGATCAAAATATGAATTAAGCTGTTTAAAGTAATTGTGTTTCCTCTACATAAATGGAGTAATTTAGAGGATTTTACTTATTCAAAATACAACATTTATTCGTATCAGTTTTTGACAAACATATTCAATATGTTTTAATATAAAGTACATCCTAATTCATGGCATTGTTACGTCTCATCAATTACACAACATTAAAAATATAAATACAAGATGAAGTATATATTTTTTTCAGAAACATCAAGTCATATCATGTAATAATTTATAGCTATAATTGTGAAATCAGTACTATATTTTTCGTTTTACAGAATATTATAATCTTCATTTTAAGAAATATCAAGTCTATATGCATTTCAGATTCTATAAATAGTAACACAAGTCTTGATGCTGTTATATACTTAATCATGTGATCAAGTTTAAGCCAATCAGAGACCTGGGAATGAATAATAAAAATGATATAAAAAATATATTTCATACTTAATGTCTAGTTGTTCATGAGGTGAAGGTTGATAGATAAAATGTAATTTTATTTCAGATATTTGATTTCTTATGTACCTTTTTGTTTAAGGAATTTATGATGACCCAAATTGTACATCGGAGACGTTGAATCATGCAGTTTTAGTCATAGGATATGGGTATAATCTAACTAGAACAGATTACTGGATTATTAAGAACAGGTAAAAAGCTTTTACCTAGTGAATTTTGATATCAGCTCCGGGAGAAATAATTTTAAATCATGAAAAGTTAATTTAACTCTTTGTTTTGGTGCTTTTTATGTCTTTTGAATAATATGACAGACATATGGATACTGCTATATCTTGGCCCTATTTGCTTTTCTGTCTAAAAGTCACCAAAAGTGAGAGCTCTTTAATTCAAATCACGCTGATCTTCAAGAATAGATTACTGTAATTAGTTTAAACAGCCTGTGGAATTTTGATGGTCAATTGAAGGCCTCTTTAAAAATGTGATTACTTGCTCAAGTTCAATCTGTATGTACCAATCAATATTGAAAAGTATGCTTATTTTATATGTATTTATTTGTTTAGCTCTATTTATTTGATGTAACGTTAATTGTTTGTAACTGGTCACTTCAAGTGGATAAAGTTAGCTTTGAGTAACTGTCTACTAGTAACTAACGTAAAATGTTAATAATAAAGCTGACTACTACAAACTGGCTACTACATGTGAGTAAAACTAGCTATTAGTAGCTGGCCATGGAAACCAGAAACCGACTTAAGTACTGTTCCACGTAAGAATCAGGCAGGTAGTACTAAGTAGGCGGTAAAGTGAAAATCTGCAAATTCATTAAATCTGATTTTAATGTATTCTTTTGGGTCTAAAATGAATGGTAAGTAATGATTTTAGGAAGTCACTAAGCATACTCTACCATCATGCAAAGTTTTATAAAAATCGGAGACATCTCATGTGCCGCCCTCTGCCTGATTCTTACGTGGAATAGTATAAAAAAAATTGAGTAAAGGTGCGTAGTATTAGTGACTGGTTACATATTACAAATATCAATTTAAAGAAAAAAATTATTGAACGCATTCATTGTTTTTGTCTGAAAAACAATCTCTTTGCAATATTTTAGAATTAACTAGAATTGTTACACTATATGGACTTGTAAAACTAAAGATATTTCAACTAAAACTAGTTTTAATTGTAACGGGGACCGTTACAGATGTTCCCCAAACGCTCCCCAAATCCCTTTTTTGTGCCATTTTCCTGTAAGACATTTTTAAAATATGCTCAATATCAAAGGATTTCATATGAGAATTATTAAAGCTACAATACCAACTATATGTCATTTAACTCATTGCACGCTCACGCACGTGCATGCACATCCAAGATGATCATGGCATGTTGTCTAAACCATTAACATTTCTTTATGTCGTGAGAATCAATAAGAAAAATCATAAAAATATAAATGTTACCGTTTTTCAAATATATTGGTCATTTTGCGTATTGTGCGCGTGCACGTGCATGCATGCATGTCCTTGCATTCAATTAGGATATAAGCATAATGTAGTAATCCATCATACCTATCCATAATCTAAATTTCATCCCGTTCCATTGAGAACCAAGAAAGTTATAGGCATTTAAAGTTTCAGCCAATCAGATTGCAGCACATGTGCATGCCCCTAACAAAAATACTATAGTAAACTATAGTTAACTATAGTTTACTATAGTTAACTATAGTAAATCATATTTCAAAGTTTTCGCCAAAGTTTTTCAAAGTGTCAAAGTTTTTGTCAAAGTTTTTCAAAGTGTCAAAGTTTCCGCCAAAGTTTTTCAAAGTGTCAAAGTTTTCGCCAAAGTTTTTCAAAGTGTCAAAGTTTTCGTCAAAGTTTTTCAAAGTGTCAAAGTTTTCGCCAAAGTTTTTCAAAGAGTCAGTTTTTGCCAAAGTTTTTTAAAGTGTCAAAGTTTTTCAATATGTCAAAGTTTTCGCCAAAGTTTTTCAAAGAGTCAAAGTTTTTGCCAACGTTTTTCAAAGTGTTAAAGTTTTCGCCAAAGTTTTTCAAAGTGTCAAAGTTTTCGCCAAAGTTTTTCAAAGTGTCAAAGTTTTCCAAAGTGTCAAAGTTTTCGCTAAAGTTTTTCAATGTGTCAAAGTTTTTGTTAAAGATTTTTAAAGTGTCAAAGTTTTCAATAAAGTTTTTTTAAAGTGTCAAAGTATCCAAGTTTTCGATAAACTAATCAAAGTGTCAAAGTTTTCGATAAAGTTTTTCGAAGTGTTAAAGTTTTTAAATTTTAACTTTTACGAGAAGCACTGACTTTTACAGTCGACTATTTACTTGGACATTTAAACCTGTATCATCTACGAAGGTACAGATCGAATTGATAGTTTGTGTTGCGATTATTTTGCGGGTTTTACGATTTTTTATTATTGTATACACGACGACTAAATTTAATAAATATAATTTGTGAAAAAAAATGCCTAGGGTTGAATATCGGGAGGGGGGTTCCTGTCCACACGTACCTGCGCTTTGAAATTCCCGTTTTCGTTGAAATAAATGTTAAGCTAAACATTTTTACGTAAAAGAGCTTCCGCACTGTCCCCTTGGAGAAACACCGACATTCTACGAACGAACGAAACTCTCCCTAACTTCCCGTATCCCGATAGTTTTCTCGGGACCAGTAATTGCACCCATATAAAGTTTTAAAATCGAAAGAAATAAGTATAGGTGTAAAATAGAACGGATAGTGTTTTAACCACTTTGTAATTGAAAATTGCTCATGTCCAAAGTTTTGTAATCATCACTTACAATGTTTTGAAATCAAAGTACTCAGAAGTACAGAGAGCCGGGCTTATTTACAGAGTAGAATGGATTTCTTACATGAATCATGTTTATATTCTGATGAAAAAATCATTTTAAAACTATCAATATAAATGACAAGACACTGACAGTGAGTTTTTCAATCCTAGAATCAGAATTAATCTGGTACCGCAGCTGAATGTAAACAAACAGGCCAGTCTGGTTCCCTCTCCTGCTTTACATCGTATGTGTAGAGAACTACGGTAACACTGATTATCAAAAATCCTTACGCTAATGAACTATGTTCTTTGACTTATGAAGTTTTCAAAGTCATTACAGTACTACTAATGTTTGTTTTATATAGATAAAATTTCGTTTTATTTTTGTTGCTTTATTTAGCATTTGTATTATCTCAAAAGCGGTTGAGAGTAAGAACTATATTTTTGCACGTAACTTTAAAATGGCGACTATGGGGTCAACATCCTGCCTTGAACAGGATCACATAAGCCGGCAATTGCTCTTTGAGCAATAAGCCCGGCTAAAAACGAACAAATAGAAGAAAATACACAATAATACTTCAGACGGATTGGAAAACACGTTTGTCATGCGTCAGTGATTAAACGTTGACAAAGTACTCGTAGTGTGCGCCTTGTTCATATGTGGAAAGGTTACTTTTTACAGCTCGGAAAAGAAATAAATCCGTGCAATCAAATAAATAGGTAGTGCACTTTATAAAGTGCCTTGTAATGAGAGAGAGAGAGAGAGAGAGAGAGAGAGAGAGAGAGAGAGAGAGAGAGAGATTGTGTTTTTGAATTAAAATATCACTTCAAAGAAATAACCGAGCATTCAAGGTAGACAATATCTTCTTAGATTATGTATTAAATGGCGATCTTAACTAAATTATCTTGGGCTGTTTTTACCTTATATACTGAATTTATATGTAACAGGCCTGAAGCAAGCAATTTCAGTTGGGGGGGGGGGGGCACACAAAGTTTAGAGTCACTACCAAACAATTCCTTGGAAGCCAAAATGAAATATTTTTCTTCTATTGAGGGGACACAAGTATACAGTAGCTAAGTTTTCTATAATACTACATTGTTTATTTATCGACTTCTTTAAGGGGGGGGGGGGGGTTGCCTAGCCCCTTAACCCCGTTTCTATATACGACCGTGTGTACATGTATATCTGTTTATATGTGCTGATTATAAAAAAAAAGGCTGAAAACATGCATTTATGTGAGGTGGTGCATTTTTTTTTGTAAAGTTCTTTTCTTTGTCTTAAAGTTAGGCTCCACAATGTCATTGTTTGTTAACCATGCATTATTAGTTAACATATAAAATTAGAAGATACACTATGTAGTTTTGACCACACAGAGTTATTTTGACCGAAGGTCCAATATACATATAAAAACTATAATCGAAATTATAACTTGTTTCATTTGTAAGGAAAAATATATATATTCACCATCCTGTTAATCGTAAAACAAAAAAAAATAATAAAAATGAAAATAAAAAAAGAAAAAACGATTGGTTCAAGAATACCGACAATAATATATAAGGACTTTTAAAAGTGTGAATAATAAAGTATGAAAACGTAGTTGTTGTCACTTAGTTGTCATAGGCTCCTTAAAATGTATGTAGTACTACACACATATGCTTACATGTATCACAAGTGCTTGTAGACCAAACAACTTCCCCACCCCCACCCCCAATATACCGTCTAGTACATATTTACAATGTATTTCATATGAAAAATCCAAAAAGTACATAAAATTTACTTTTAGTTTTTAAAATAAATCTTGCCCGTAGTATCTCAAATCACCTCTGACTTTTTAACTGCAGGTATCAAATTTGTATGTTGTAAATTGTAAATGTTATTGATGAAAGAAAGCCAAAAAAATATATATTTTGACCCGGATGTATACTGTTCATTATACAATGTTTGTTCTGTTTTGTATATGTATAACTGTGATGATTTTGGACACTGTTCTGTATGCTCCACTGTGGGGTGAATAAATATTCTAAATTCTATAGTCCATGGGTTGGGGGAAAAGGGGGAGGGGCTTAGGTCCTATGATGGCATGCTAATATGGAACTTGCTCTCATATATCTTAAACTATGTCAAAGACACAGTTCACTAAACTTCCATTTTTGTGCCGACCCCCCCCCCCTCCCCGAAAGTTGGGGATATATTAATTTCGGTCTGCCCGTTCGTTTTATAATTCTGTCCGTCTGTAATACTTTTGTTTCGAGCAATACCTCAAGAAGCCTTTGAGCTTTTACAGTGAAATTAAAAAATAGCTTTGGGTCTGGGATGTTAAGGGGGGGGGGGGTGTCCAGTCCACTAGCACCCGTGAGAATTATAGATTTTTAAGATACATGTTTGTAAGAAGAAACTTTATCAACTGACAAATTACAAACGGG